CATGCATAACTTACACCCATCCTCCCCTCCCTCTCCACGGCCACCCTTCTAATCCAAGCCATTGTCATCTCCTCCTGTGTGACAGCATAGCCTCTTTCTGATGTCCCTTCCAGCCCTCCACCCACTAGAATATAAGCCACCCCCAGGGCAGAACTGGGATGTCGTGCTCAGCGCTACAGCTCCAGGGTCTAGCATGATCCAGGCTTATGGTCCCTGCTCGAAATGTACTTCCGAAGGAATGGGTGAATGGAAGGAGTGAATACACACAGGAACAATAGCCTTTATACAGACATAGTTATTGGAACTTATTAAGCAATGTGACCCTGATCTCTCGCTCTCACTGTTGGAAATGGACGCACTGAGGTTCTAGCCATGTGTGGGGGTGGCCAGAGCCTATGATCTTTCCACTCCCTGCACTGCCTTGGCATAAACTCGCCTCTTGCTGGAGTCATATATGTGCCGTTTCTACCTCCGTGCATTTCTGACCCCGTTTCACTGACAGTGAGTTCCTCGAGGGTGGGACTGGTGGCGAATGTTTGCATGGGTCCACGGCCCCCAGCACTGCCTGGATTTTGAGGGAGGAGACTCAGGCTCCCGAATAGGGTCCATAAGTAGTAGTAAGTGTTAGCGACGTGATGCTTGGAAGGAGGGATTCCACCCCACTGGAGCTGGTTTCCTAGACCGTAAACTGGGGAGGATGAGGTCCGCGTCTGTCCCCCTGCCAGGCCTCGGGACAGCAGAGGGGCTGTGCGTGGGTCCCGTGCTGGCAGTGGCGTTGGAGAGAGAGCAGGGGACGGGGTCAAGAGCTGTGCGGGGGGCAGAAGCAACAAGGCTTGCCAGCATGAGGGTGGTCATTGTCATTCTGACTGGGGACACGGGCTGTGAGCAGGACACGATGAAGCACACTTGGCTCTCCTTGTTTCCTTCCCACCTGGGCTGTCACCTGTGTGGCAAGGTGTCAGTATGTCAGTATGCCTGGCACTGCCACTCGCCTGGTTTTCCATGGATGACCCTCGGTGCGGTGTGTTCCCCGACAGCGGGTGCTCCTTCCTGGGCGAGGCCACCCTTTCCTCTTACCCTTCAGGTCCCCTCACGCCGCCCCAGGCCCAGGCGCTGGAATGCTTCACCCTGAGCAGGGCTGGGGCCGGGCGTGGCGTGCATGGGAGAGCAGGGAGTTGGGGAGCAGAGTAGCTGCACGTACAATCGCATGTTCTTTGTTCTAGCCGGTGGCTTCCCCTACCCCCACTCCACAGACCCTACAGAGTTGTTTTCTTGTGCTAGCCTGGCCTGCCCGTTCCCGCAACCCAGCAGAAGGACTGTCCCCGCTTGGCTTTTGCAAACCCAGGCCTGGTGACAATGCCAGTCGCCTTCCCGGCACCTCTTCCTCCCCTTGCTGTTGCCACTTTGCTTTGGCAGGTGTGAAATATTAATTGCCTCACTGGGGACTGGGCTCTTTCTGTCTGTCGTGTCTGACCAGAATATCATTCTCTCCTGCAAATATAATTACGGGGCGGGGGAGGGGGGCCGGGTTTGGGGGGTTGGGGTACTGCAAGGTAGGGAGGGGGTGCCAGCGAGCGAGGGGTGCCGAGTGTAGGGGCTGCGGCTTTTTTCCTTAATCGCCTCTCGCCTGTCTGTTAATTAGGAGCCGCGCTTTGCTACATGCTGTGATATTTTGGTTAATTATGAAAGAGAAAAGGACAAATTTGTCACATCTTTTGTTTTCGTTCCACCACGTCTCCTGGTGACAGCGGTGTGAAGGCTGATGGACTGCTCAGGCGGCAGCACCAGATGCTCACGCACCCCCCATCCCCCGAGGGGGGCAGGCTTGGCGGGGGAGGGGGTCTGCGGGGCCAGGAGGCGGCCGGGAGGCACCGGGCAGACGGGTGGGCACGGGGCCAGTCCGGGCTGAGTCGGCCGAGTTCACGAGCGTCGAATAACTCGAATGTGGAAACGGATGCCACCAAGGAGCCTGGAGCCCCACTGGAGGGAGGAGGAGGGAGACAGTCATTCCTGCACTGTCGCTGTCCTGTCTGCGTGGCTGGCCTTAAGCTGATGCCCAGGGACGGAGGCTGAACCTTCAGGCAGCAATCAGAGCAGGCAGAAAGGCTGGTGAGCCCTCTTAGGAGCTCAAGGACGTGGGGGCCACGTGCATGTTGGAGACCGAGGCTGAGTAAAGCACACTAACACCAAACGAGCCCATCGGGGTGCAGGCCACCCAGGGGGTGAAAGGATGCGCTAGTTCTTCCTGCTGCTGCTGCTCACTGCCTAAGGCCCATTTCAGGTCCCAGCTTACACGAGACACCTCCAAGCACGTGCACACGCACACGCACATGCACATGCACACGCATGCTGCGCTAGGAGTCCCCATCTTCGGGCTCTGAGGCTACTGAGCTTCTGCCACGTGATGGTTCGTGTCGATTTACGTGTCAATTTGACTAGCCTGGCTGTTTGGTCAAACGCCACCAGTCTAGATGCTGCGGCGAAGATATCTTTGCACACGGGATGAACATCGACAACCGATAGACGTAGAGCATCAGTAGATTACCCGCCATCGTGCGGGTGGGTCTCTTCCCAGGAGTCGAAGATCCTGAGTTACCAAGGCTGAGGTCTTCTGAGGACCGCAACATAGAGCTCTTCCCTGAGTTTCCCACCTGCTGGCCCGGCGGGCAGGCGTCAGACTTGCTGGTACAATGGCATGTGCCAGTTTCTTAAAATCGACCTGCCCATCTCCTGTTGGTTCTGCTTCTCTCTGGTGAACCCTGACAGATATGCATCCCTACGCACCTGCTCGCGGACCCGCCTGAACCCCAGCCCGGCCCCTCCCCTGGAATGTGAGGATGGAAACTAAATTGGGTCCTCTGGGCGCAGCCTCCCCTGGACCTAGCGCAGGGCCTGCCTGTAATAGCCCTTAATAGGCATTTGCTGCATATCGGATGAATTCATTCGGGAAACAGGAAAGACCTACATCCCCGACCCAATCAAATAACCCTCCAAAGCAGCGCAGGCCGCTCCTGACTTATAAATAGGTTTAGCTCCAAAAATTCGTTTGAGTCCGTTGTCTGAAGCTTTTCCCCATAACAACAAGGATATCAGCGCTGGCGCGGCTCCTGGGCCGGCTGCCAAAACCCTATTTAACCCATAGTATAGATTAAGTACTGTGCATTTGCCGTGAAAAATAGTGGAAAACAATACTCTTGCAAGGCTAGTAATTAGAAGAGAAACATGATAGTATTGAATAAAAATAGGTGAAATTTTTCATTTAGCGTATTGGAGTTGGAGGGAAAAAATGCTTACAAAAGGGATGAGCGAGCAGAGAGAGACGAATGGAGAATCTGAATGGAATTCCTGCGTATTTTTAAGGGCTTCGGAGGTTGATGGGACTGAATCTCTGTGTGATTTAATTTCTGCTCAAAACTCAATGTTCGTTTCTCCCCGTCTCCGATTGCTTTATAGTTAAGGTTATTAGTTTCTTCGTACATGTAACCCAATAGAGGGAGTAAGAAATCATGGGGTGCTTTGGGGGGAGAGAAAGAGAGAGAGAGAGAAGGAGGGAGAAAACCAGTGCGGAACTGAAAAAGGATGTATGTCCATTCGGGAATGGAAGAGATGCCAGGTCAGATGGTTCCCCAGACCAGCCACCAGGAGGCACTGCTGTTGTGTTTTAGCTGAGGGCTGGGGGTGGGCTGCCTCTGAGGGGTTGGTAGGGACAGCAGGAGGGGAGGGGTGCGGTGGACATTTCCAAGTTGCAGGTCAGTCCTGCAAAGATCCTCTCTCGTTATAAAGATCCAAAAGAGGGATGTGGACCACAGATGCCCAGAGAGCCAAAGGAGGGAGAGAGGATGGCGGGAGACAAGCTGAGGTCGGCCTGGGGCTGGCCTGCTGGGGTGGGGCTGGTGGGAAGGCAGAGGGCAGGGCTGGCAGCTAAGGGGCCAGGGAGAGCTGTGGCCCTGGGGAGGGAGGGAGCCTGTGTGTTTGGGGACAGAGAAATAGCTCCAAGATACTGACTTTGTGAAATAAAGCAACATAAATGAGGATGCTAGGCTGGGGATATTTTTTAGTTTTTAATTTGGGGATTTTTTTTTTTTTATGAAGAAGGAACAAGACAACGAGTCTTAAAAAAAACTTATTTATTTTGCAATTGTTTTAGATTTACAGGAAAGTTGCAAAGACAGAATTCTGATGGACCCTTCACCCAGCTTCCCCTAAGGTTCACATCTTGCATAACCATGGTACATTCATCAAAATGAAGAAATTCACATTGGTACAGATACTATCAAGTAAACTATGGATTTCACATCAATTTCTCTAGCTCTCCCACTAATGTTTTTTTTCTGTTCCAGGATGCAATTCAGGATGCCATGCTACATTTAGTCACCCTTCCTCTCCTCCAGCCTGGGACAGGGTCTCAGCCTCCCCTTGTCTTTCATGACCTTGACAGTTCCGAGGAGTCCAGGTCAGATCTTTAGTAGATTGGTCCCCCGGTTTGGGTTTGTCTGATGTCTCATGATTTGAGTGAGGTTGTGGGTTTTTAAGAAGAATACCACAGAGGTGCGGTGCCTTCTCATCCTATCATATTGGGAGGCACGAAGACATTCACCTTACTTATTGCAGAGCCCTACAAGGCCCTCTCTTAGGGTTGAAGATCTGGATCATCCTTCCAGGAATCTAGGGTTATCCTGCCCATCCTCCTACCTATGGACGTGCATGTGGGAATAGCGGGTACATGGAGCAAAGTGCCTCTTAGTCTAATCAAATGACTGGGCCTCTGTATTGCAGCTTCTCTATTTCCCCCAGAGAAACTAGCAGTAGGCAGAGTTACCCTTCCTCAAAATGGGTTCCAAGAACCCCCCTTACCTGGGTCAACACCCTATCCCCAGTCCCTGCAGAGAAAGAGCTTCCGTGCCTGGATTGATGATACCATGGACAAGCATCCTCCATCTGCTAAGAAGGAGGAAAGGAATGTTGTTTCTACCCAGGTCTTCCTTCCTTCCTTCCTTCCTTCCTTCCTTCCTTCCTTCCTTCCTTCCTTCCTTCCTTCTTCCCTCCCTCCCTCCCTCCCTCCCTCCTCCTTATTTGCATTCAGTAAGGAGATGACACATTCTAGAACATAACCTCCCTTTTTCATTCCAGGAATCTAATTGTTATTTCTGTGTTCGTGAAAGATAAAGGATTAGCGAGAATGCTTTGCATTAAGGCGCCATTTGTAAATGCTTTATAATTATTTATGAAATTATCCCGCATTTTATAGCATGGGAGATAATAACTTAAATTGATGTATTAAACATGCACCGTCATTATTTTAACAATATTAAATGCACCTCTGTGGAATAATCATTTCATAAACACGAAGAACGCGTTCAGAAGTGGCACCTTAATTTAAGATATTACAGGATTCGTGACACCCAAAATCCACGACCCTTTTTCTTGAAGACAGATGGGGTTTCTTATCTGGCCACAGTGTTCCTCTTTCTTGAAGCGAAAATGAATTCCTAAATTAAAAGATATATTATCGAGGTTACTTGGGCGATGTGATGAAGCAATGCGAGAGGAGATAAGGGGTAGAATTTTCAGGGACCAGAACAAATTGGACAAACCTTATCTTTGCTAGTCTCCGTCCTCTAGAGCCCCGGGCACAGGAAGGGGTCCGGGTCTCGGGGTCTCCTGCAGGGCTCTGGGAGGAGTTAAGAGCTGACGCGTGCTGGAGAATGGCCACATTATGCACCTGGGATGCCAGGGCTTTGGGCTGTTTGGAGCAGGGATGACCTCAAAATAGAAGATCCCTTGTGCCCAGCAGGCCGTCTCTGCAATGGAGGGAGAGAATCCAGGAGGAATTTAAAAGTTAGCAAATTAGGGGTGAGGGAGGGGTAAGAGGAGAGACAAAAAACATGAATCCCAACCCCTTACGTTTGTGAAGCTGTAGCAGTTGGTAGATCCCAGACAGCTGAGCCAGTCTTCCCAGCTGCGCAGCGCAGCGCTGCCGGCTTCTGCTCATGGCGCCCTCTGCTGGTCACTGTCGGAATTTCAACACCGTGCGTTCAAAGTGCATCATCAGGGGGGCGTAGTTCATTGTCTCCACCGGCAATGAAGCGCTTTCTAAGGCGTCGGCCCTGTGCTAAGTGTTTTAGAAGCATGAACCTATTTTTCACTGGATGAGAAAACTGAGCCCCAGGGAGTTTGCAGCCTCTTCACTACTGGGCTGTCGTGAGGCGGACAGCGGCGAGAGAGCTGACCTTGTGTGGCTGTTCTATGCTCCCCCGCCGGGGCCAGGAACAAATGAATGAAAATTCATTCTGCATTTAAAGACCACAAATATTCCAGGGTCTTCTTTGGAAGTGCATCTTAGCCTGTAACTTAAATCCGGCAATATCCCAAGTCTTTGGGGGCGGGGGTGTAGAACGGGTCTTAGAAATTGGTATTATTTAGTCTAAGCAGGTAACATGGGCCTCTGTGGGTTCAAGTACTGCAAGACAGGCTAATTCTTCTTTTTTTCTTCTCATACCTCATACCCAAACCCCATCCGGAAAGCCTGCCATCTCTACCTTCAAAGCGCATCTGGAATCCAGCTGCTGTTTTTTCCCCCCTTCCCACCATGGCCACCTTGGTCTAGGCCATGCTCACTTGTGCGACAGCTTCTCAGATGCTCCCCGGCTGCCCCTCTCTCCCGCTGTCCCCACATGGTCTATTCTGAGCCCTGCGGCCTGAGCAAGCCTATCGGAACATAAATTGGATTGGGCCCCTTCCTCCATCTTATCCCGGGGTAAAAACCAAACGGTCCTACAGTGCCCTACAGATTCCCTGCAACCTTTGGCCTCTCTGACTACATTTGCCACTTTTGTCCCCTTTGCTCAAGTCCAGCTCTGCCTCTGAACTTGGCACTGGCTGATCCCACTGCCTGGAGTGCCCTTCCCCCAGATATCCTCACGTTAATAACCTTTCTCTCTCTCCCCTCTCAAACCTCTGCTCAAATGCCACCTTCTCAGTGAGGCCTCCCCTGACCTCCCTTTTTAAAATTGCAACCCCCACCCTTCATTGCTAGTCTTCCTTCCCACTTACCTTTTTCTCCACCGCAGGTATTATTTTCTAGTGCATCGGATGATGCACTTATTTATCATGTTTATCGTTCACTTCCCTCCCCTAGGATGGAAGCTCCCGAGGGCAAAGTTTTTGTGTGCTTTGTGCCCTGCTTGCCTCCTAACGCCTGCACACGTGTCTGGGACATTGTAGGTGCTCAATAAATCCTTGTTAAATGCACAAATGATGAGTTGTCCCCTTGTCCCCAGGTGATGGCAGGTGGGGTAACACACTGTTCTGGTTTGCAGGGTACTGAGTTGTTTTAGCACTGGAAGTTCAGCATCCTGGGAAACCCATTAGTCCCCGGCAAACTGGGATGCTTGGTCACCTGGATGACAGGAGAGAAGAGTCAAGAAGGGACAGCCGTCCTCGGGAGCCAGCGAGGCCTTTCCCCAGCCTGGCCGTCGGGAGGAGGCGCCTGTCTTCACCTAGATTCCCAGGGGAGGGGTGGGGAGAGAGAATGGCTCCGTCTCAGAAAAAGCCTTTTGAGTTATTGAAATTGCAGCTTATTATCAAGAAGAAAGTGAGTTTCTATTTTCCTGTAAGTGGCACAGGAGTAGAAAAATGACAGTGTAATGATGTTCCAGTGGAACAATTATTTTCCGGAGATGGAGCAACTTATATAAAGCATCACCCTGATTATGCGCTGCCTTCTTGCCCCACCCCCCCTCGGGCCTAGTTTCGTTGCCAATAAATCCCCTTCCAGAGCCTCTCTGGCCCGGGACTGCTCTCTCCGGAGGGACCCGCTGGCCGGGCCGGTCCTCGCCTGCCCCGCCGGCCCCTGCATCCCCTAACTGTGGTTTAGCATCCGGGCAGATGCTGAGGGCAGGGGTGAGAGGAGACCGCTGCAGGGGGAGGGAGGGCCGCGCAAAGGCTCAGGCATAGCCTGGGGCAAGAAAGAAAGGCCTGCGGTGGAGAAAGGGAGTGAGGAGCTGGAATCAGAACCAGATTTCAAGGTATCCTTGGTAGGATCGTTTGGGCGTGAGAACAAAGAAGGATCCCTCAGCTGGTGAGGATGGGCCTGAAACAGCAGAGGACCTGGACTCATCTGTGCTGTCCCCGAGGGGGGTCTACATGGAGACCTTTCTGCTATTATAACTATTATTATTATTTTAATATCACTATTCGATGAGGTTGTTTGGGTCCTGAGTCTGCCTGTCTTAATCTTCGTGGGCTGCCACAACAGAATGCTATAGACGGGGCGGCTTCACAGAAAAAAATGTACTTCTCATGGTTCTGAAGGCCAGGAAGTCCAAGGTCAAAGTGCCAACCCGTTTGGCTCCTGGTGAGGGCTCTCTTCTCGGCTGGCAGACCTTCTTGCTGTGTCCTCAGGTGGTGGAGTGGGAGCTCTAGTACCTCTTTCTCTTCTTAAAAGGGCCCCAGCCCTGTTGGATCAGGGCCCAAGACTTAGGATCTCATTTAACCCTTATCACTGCCCCACAGTCCTAGCTCTTAATATATGAATTTGGGGAGAACACAAACCTTTGGTCCATAACATTATGTCTACAGACTAAATGTTTTTTGCCCCCCACCCCAAATTCCTATGCCGACATCCTAAACCCCTGTGAGAACAGAGCCCTGATGAATGGGATTAGTGCCCTTATAAAAAAAGTCCAGAGAGCTCCCTCCTCCTTTTTGCCAGGTGAGGTGACAGTGAACCAAGAAGCGGGCCTTCACCGTACACCAGATCTGCTGGCTTCCTGACCTCAGACTTCCCAGCCTGCAGAACTGGGAGAAATAAATTCTGCTGTTTGATGTCCCCCCAGGTCAGGGCCTTCTGTTATGGCAGCTCTAAGGGACCAAGACAGCTACCTAATTGGAATCGTTCCTTCTGGGACTTCCTCTTGCCCCCTGGACTCAGAGATTTGGTTTGAGGCCAGCCCCCTTCCAGCCCAAGGATTGCATCTTGTCCCCGGATATTTAAATCAGCGGTTCTCAAAGTGTGGTCCTTGGATGAGCAGCGTCCAAGTATTGACTGGGGACTTGTTGCAGATTGAAATCCTCAGGCCTCCTGAGTAAGGGCTGGGGCTGGAGTCCAGCAATCTGGGTTTTAACAAACCTTCCAGGTGATTCGGGTGCAAGGTTTAAGAACATCTGCTCGAATAAAAGAATGCCGCCCCTGAGAACTGCTGCTCTGTCTTCAAACTTCAGAGTCAGAATGCTGATAGAAACACAGACTGCTGGGCCCTGACCCCAGGTTTTGATTCTGGAGGGGCGAGGCTTGGTAATCGACACGTCCAGCCTGTTCTCAGCTGGCGCACGTGGGTGCTGCTGGTCCTGGAGCCTCCGCTTTCCATGAGCTCTTCTGGCATTTTCCTGAGAAGCTGTTCTTCTGGCCATGGTAGAAGCATGTCCCAAAGTGTTCTGTGTTTCCTTAACTGGATGTGACTGATCCTTGCTTTCTGAGGTGAGCTCGGGGCGTTGCTCAGCCCCCCGATGTCTGGCCTTGGCAGTGGAGCACCCACCACTCCCCGGCCAGAGCGCTGCCAAGCACCTGCTGCCTCTCAATTTGGGTTTAAAGCGGAGGAGGCCAATATAGGCCCGAATGGCCTGGCATTCAGAGCTGGTGCTCTGTCCCTGACCTGGCCTCTTTGGCCACTTCTATTTCTAGATCTAAGCAGGACTGAGTCAGGGGACTCAAGCCAGTGTCTGGTTTGACACTATTTCCTCGCTGGTGGGGGAGCACTGCCTTACCTGTGCCTACCTGCCTCCTCCCAGGTACCTGGTCCTCCTTGGCACCCAGATCTCACACTGGCCTTGGCTCCTTATTTTATTTTCTGCTCTCGAACCTGGATGGTGTAGCCAGGGTGCTACGGGGCCCTGCAGACTGCCAGACTTTATCCATAGCCTCCTCCTGCTTCCTCACATTTCTGAGTTCGGCCTGCTAGGAGGTGAGTGCACCCCACGGGCCTGGGGCCCTCCTTCCTGCCATTCCCTCCACACACCCTCAGCACTGGCGTCAGTGCCAGTCTCCACCGGCTGGTCCACGTCTCCCCCGTCCTGCCCGCTCTCAGCCTGCCCATCAGCTGCAGAACGTCTTCCAGGCTGGGCCCTGTCTTGGGATACGACAGCTCTCAGGTTGCTCCTAGCACTTAGAGAGGCAGAGTTGCGAAACTGCATGCTGTTTGGCCAAGGAAGGATGGGCCGAACTGTGGGCCAGGCTGCCAAGTCCTTAGGATAAAGGACAGGTGGCGGGTTTTTATGGCGTTGTTATCAATTATAAGGGTCCTTCGGCAATTGCTGGCTGGGAATGAGGGGCATGAGGGAGCCTGTGGTTTTTGTCCTAATTTGTTTGGTTTGGGGCTGGACCCCAAGCTCAGGAACCATAGTAATTAGCCCAGCTGCAGAATTGGGCAAACGTAGCACATGGCTGTCATTGCTCCAAGGGGCTGGGCTGGCACTGGAGCCACTGGCTCTAACAAGGGCTCTTGTCAGCTGGGGGCTGTGATGGCAGTGGCGGATGCGGAGGGAGCTGGGGCTTTGATTTCCCAGCCTCTCCCTCCCGGCTCCCTCTCCTGTCTCTCGGTAGGAGCTGCCCCTTTGCTGAGTCTAGGAGTGGGGCTGGGCAGGGGTGACTTTTGGGATCAGAAGGGCAGAGGAGCAGGGATGGCACAGCCTCTGGGTGGCCGGAGGCTCATTTGTTGGAGAGGTTGGGGTTCGGTGCTCCCTAAGCAGGGAAAAGCAGAGAGAAGGGAGCATCGCAGACACATGCAAATGGGAGTTGTGCACGGGCCCAGGGCTCTGGGGAGAGAGCATCTGCAATTCGCCAAGCCAACCAGAAAATTAAAAAGATGGCTCCACGTGCATGCTGAAGCTCCGGCTGGAAGTGGGTAGAGTGTGAGCATTTAAGGATTCTGGGCCCAGTGAGAGGGGCCCTGTGTCAGTCACTCACGGGGCTGGGGCTGGGAGGCGTCTTCCCGTGGTGGGCTCCGAGTTTGACGTGGAGATGCATCTGCAAGGCCCATCACTGGAGCCACAGCTGTGGGGGACGTGTGTGCTGGGACATGTCCCATGGCTCTCGTGGGGGCTCCGGGCTTCTGGGGGAGCCTTCCCCACCCTGGGTCCCCTCTGTCCTTCCCCAGCCCTACATGAGATGCGCCATCCTCAGCTTACCAGCGTCGACGCCTACAACACCTTCTGCACCTGGCTACTGTGTCGGGACTCGGCGGCACGTGGCCAACTCTGGCTCTTTGCTGTTAATGGCTCTTTGCGTTTGAACATAATGGCAGGAGGGCTCCGGGAAGACATCGGGAAGACCCTCATACTCACACAAGCAGGCGAGGACTGGAAATCATAACTGAGGGGGGCCTCGACAACCTATTCCAGAAGCACCACTAGAAAGTCAAAAGGGGTGGCGCTGGGAGCTGGCCTCTCTGGAGGCTGGAGGGGAGGAGCCCACCAGCCTGAGGCGCTGGGGGTTCTCTGCGTGGACTCACGGCCCGATGCCTACCGCATTTTCCCCTAGCGGGGCCAGTCTTCCCGGCTGCGAGCCCAGGGGGCCAGCCCCTACAGTGCCACAGGGGGCCATAGCGCCAGGAGGAGGTGAGCGGGGTGGGAGGGGACGCCAGGCCTCTGCCTGTTTTGAGCCAACTGCCCCCTCTCTCCCCGTGTGGAGACCTGTTGGACATCCTTCCTCTTCCTCTCAGCAAGACGGGATGCTGCTCTTATCCAGCCCCATGGCAAACAGCAGCAGTCTGCTTTTTGTCATAGCCTGGCCATTTCCGAAGAGTCTGAACGGACAGAGGAAGAGGCCACCTTGAGTGCCCCCCCAGCGGTGCAGTGGCAGGCCAGGGGAGAGGCGGGTCTGAGGGCGGGGCCGGGTGCACACGAGGACTGCGGGCTCAGGTGTGCTGTGCGGA